CCTCCCCCTGCCCCCCCAGAAAGTGGCTCCCTCCCAAAACTCTGTCCTCCCCTCCTCGGCAGCCGAAACCCGCTCCGGTGCCTGGGAGGCCCTTTGGGTGGAAAACGAGATTTCCCCAACCCAGCCTTAGACGTAGTTGGTGGAAGAGCATGGAAAACCCTACTAGCAAAGTTTTCCTCTAGTCTTTTTGGTCCAAGGCCAGTTCTGTGTTTGCGTTTGCCAGGTGTCAGGGCCACGCTCTTATGCCCGCACACGAGGCAATCACATCATTGCACTGTCGCGTGCGCTTTCGGCCTTCGTAGCTGTGCTGGGGTGAGGGAGAAGGCTTTGCCGCAGTGCAGGCTGGCTACAGATACGGCCTCCAGTTGCAATCTCTTTCCTGACATTTAAATTCACCCTTCCAGTTCCTTTCAGTGACGGGCTCAGTGAAGGTTAAGAAACTTCCTGGGAACTGTAAAAATAAGAAAGGTCATTTGCTCTTTCCAAACATGGATAAAAACAGGTTATGTGTATGGCTGCTAGATCTAAAATGGGAAAGGAGAGGTTGGCAAGAAACAATCAATTTGTCCCCTCAGTACGTGTACTAGTGCCTTTATTTGTTGGGATTTCAACCTTCATTCAAACAGAGCTTGGCATAAGTCTCAAAAAAAAAACTTTATTGCACATATAGTAAAAAATACATGCAGCTTTTAGCATTTCCTTCCCTAAGGAAAATGTGAAAAGCAAAAATCTTAATAAATGTATATGAAACTATAGCCCCTTAAATACATCTTACATATACAGATTTAATGTATTAGCGAAAAAAAAGTGCTAAACCTAGTAGAAAGCTCATGTCTACCAATCTACTTTAATGATTAATATACAATGAAAATAATTTTTTCTCAAAGGAAATAATTACCAAATGCCAAACAAGATTAAATTGTTTTTTTAAATGGAAGCCTCCTTTATTATTAAAACTACCAGTGCAAGTCCCTGAGGTGTAGGGTCCGGTTCGGCAGCACAGGCAATACAGTTTCCTGAACACGGGAAGAGAGATGGGCAACGACCATGCAGTGCCATTGTGGCCTGGA